TTAATGTTGACTGCCTGATGTTTGTGTGCTCAAGGCAGTTAGTTTATGTATATATAATTACAGTAGTATTAAAAGGTTCACATTTGTTGCTGAAATGTGTCCATATGTTGAGTTACAACAGTTATCAATTACATGGCAGATGCATCCCTCAGTAAAAACGATAACATCTAAACAAAAAGTTGAGGTCAGGGCAGGGACACTTGTCAAACCCAAAGAGCATCTGTCTAGGAGGCTGACCATGTGTCAAACAATGGAGGTTTCTTAATCAACAAAAACAAATGAATGCGAAGCATTACAGGATAAAACTCGGCCTTAATCTCATTCTTCAAGAGTTCATTCCTTACTGCACAAGTTTGACAAAAAGAGCTACTCTCAAGAGTTCTGTTACAGGCTCAAATTTGACTGCTTTAAAAACAATGGAAATGAGCAGAAGTAAAATACCCAGCATCTCAATTGCAACTGAGCCAAGTGTTTGTCAGTTAGCCATGAACGATAATTCAACCAATGTCCAATACTTTCAGACTTCCAGTCAGAACTTTCCAGGGATGCTCATCTCCTAACTGCTGGTCGTAGGAAAATTAAGACTCTGGGTATGAAGGTGGGTCAGCCTTCAAAAATTTACAAGAGTCTTTCCAGCTTTTAGTTAATTTAATTAAGACCACAATGAAAGCACTGTGTTCGGAAATTACAGAAAATATCTCTAAGCATTCTGAATTCCTGGTGCTGCAATACTATTATAAGTTACATGTATCCTACGAAGTTGGACACCTTGTTGGTCTGCAGACATGTTAAATTTTCAGAGGAGTGAACACCTTACGTGGAAGCTTTCACCTTGGCCTGCCATGGTCTTGATGTCAGCCTTCTGTAAAAGTAAATTGACTTGGTCCATTTCTAACTTTCTGAATTACCAAAATCAAATCTGAATTCATTGCCTGATTTTTCAAATTTCCAGCCATCTTTAAGTGTCACATCTGGTTTATCTGTGTGTCTCTGAAAAAAAAATAATAATAATAATAATAACATCAAATAAATTACAATTTCCATTTAGCAGAAATAGCTGCAAACAGTTTTCTGCACTGCTAACTCGCTCTGTATATGAAATGATCTCATCAGAAACTAATATATACTGGAGTACCGTAAACACTGACGGATAAGCCGCACTTGCAGAGTAGCCGCACCCTGAGTTTGGCAACTCAAACTTCCATGTACAAATGTTTATTCATTGAACATAATCCAGAGTAAACTTCTGTAACTTTGACAACAGAGAACACTTCAAACTGAGACCCTTATGGTTACCTAGTACACTTTTAGCACTGTAATTATACTAGTATGGACATATTATACTAGTAAGTGACATATGTTTGAGCTTTCTCTGTTATTTTTCAATCAGTATTTTCTCATTCCTGTCAGTTTTTCAACAGAGATTTTGTGAAAAAAAAACAAACAAACTTGCAAAAGCAATGATCAAGGTGTGCTCTGGAGGTATAGTTTTATGAAGTTTTCATTAGTTTGCTATACAAACTTATAAATTTTGTAAATTAAATGTAAAATGTTTTGTTTACATACCTGCATGTCTGAATCTTTAGATTTTGTCTGGCAAACTTTAACAAATATACTTCTTTGTTCTTCCTTACTGACAGCTGAGAGCTTTGGATTCAGAGGTGGTCCTGAGAAAATCATGAAAGCTCACTTATTAATTATTTATGATATGAAAGAATTAATTTAATAGTAAAATAATTGGGTTTGCATCCCTTTAAAACTGCCATCATCAAATACTTGACGAAGAAATGAGTCTCCAAGAAGGTTTATATTAAAAATATTCATTTTGACACGGTAAGAATGGAAAAGCTGACCTTGAAGAGATTAATGCATCATATAAGACTTCATTAACAACAATAAATTAACTATCACCTTGTTTTTCTTTCTTTTTATCTTCTTGCATCTTTTTCCTGTAGTCTCCAAACAGTGAAAACATAAGCTGCCTTTTCCTTGGCTGGAATGAAATGCAAATTTACCAACAAATTTAAATCTATTCAGAGGGTTTGACTGCACGATAAGTACCCATAAATAACAGCCACAAAAAATGAGGAGTTTATATACACAGATTGTCCTTGTAAAACTGTTTGACAGGTAAGTTAAGGAACCAAAACAAACCTTAAGTATATTTTGACAGTTAACTTATTTAAGGTCTTTCAGGACTGTCCAGGAGACAACACAGCACCATTCATGGCCAATGTTCATTAGTAAATATTCTGCATTTGGTCAAAGTGTCTAATATGGCTAGACTGCATCCAGGTTTCTGTAACATTAAGAGACTGTAAGCATTTCCTCCCCCCTTGGATGGGATGCCAGACAGTCCAGTGCAGAGTTGCCCTTAAGCATAAATTTACTGGTACTCATTCATGCACCTGGATGTGGAGAGGTGCCATGACAGCAAAGCGTCTAGCCTTTCAAAGAACACATCAGAATGACCTGGACAGGGATACTGAGCACGGAACCTGGACATTCTCAGGTCTATCTGGTCTTAGATTTGCAGGAATAAAGCCCAAAAACATTTTAGACCCTTTGGATCTTACACATTTTCACCTACCAGGAGCAGGCTCCAGCCCCAACCAACCCACTGCCTTCACCAAAGTACTTCTGCCACTTCTCCCCCATGACCCTTGTCGCTCTGGTTATGTTGTGTAAAAACTTCTTGGACAAGAACCACCCCACTAGCAAACTGAGGTTTTGTATCTTTGTATTCAGAACATAGGAAAGAGGAAGGCAAATACAGTGCACTTACCATGGGTGTTTTAGAAGAGTTTAAAGATCTCAAATGACGCTGAACAACTTCAGCTACAATACAATGAAAGATGTTCAATATTTAGTTAAATGCAAATTAGAAAAATCAGAATGAGGATCTATAATGATCCATATTTGGAGACTAAGGGGCAGATAGTCAGGTCAAGAGGAAAGTCAAACAGACAAACACAATGTGAACAAAAAACTTCTCCTGACCCAGGTATCTGCCCCTGGGCCACCAAGGATAATAGCGATCACTTTTGCAACACAAATTACAATCATGGTAAGTCATTACAAATTTTATGCACAATTTAACATACTTTCATAAAATCATATTCCTACATATATCTTGCAACAAAATAACTACCTTGTCTTTTGTCAGGTTTCTGAAAAGCGAGACCCATTTCAAGTTGTTCGATGCACCAATTCAGCTCGCACTGAAACTTGTCTTCTGCTGACTATAAAATAAATTTTACAATTTTAAACAATGCACAACTAAATGTAGACAACGTCACACTGTGGTAAACAACCAGCTAGGTCAAAAGGAAGATAACACAGGATATGTCAGGTGTAAGAGGTGCTTTGACACGGTCAAAAAGAAGATAACACAGGATCATATGTCAGGGGTGAGAGGTGCTTTGACAAAGAAAATTAGTACTGAGATTAATCTTTTCACCTGAC